GAAGAAGAAGAAGAAGAAGAAGAAGAAGAAGAAGAAGAAGAAGAAGAAGAAGAAGAAGAAGAAGAAGAAGAAGAAGAAGAAGAAGAAGAAGAAGAAGAAGAAGAAGAAGAAGAAGAAGAAGAAGAAGAAGAAGAAGAAGAAGAAGAAGAAGAAGAAGAAGAAGAAGAAGAAGAAGAAGAAGAAGAAGAAGAAGAAAATTATAAGAAAAATAAGCTATTCAGGCAGAAGAAAAATAATACCAGAGGAAATGTAGATAGACATAAAAGTACCAGAAATGGCAATTATTCAAATAAGTACAGAATATTTATTTACATTTCTTTAAAAGATAATTATTTGGAAAAAGCACAATGCGTTTGTACAGTTTAAAGCATATGAATGAGTAGAAGATAAAACATAAATGGCATAAAGACTGAAGGGAAGAAAGTGTATACTATTATAAGCTTCTTATACTAACATGAAGTAGTATAATATACTTGAATGTTGAATGTTATTAGTGAAAAAAATGTATATATAAGTCCTTAAGTAGCCACTAAATTAACAAAATAGAGTGTTATAGCTACTACATTGATAAAGGAGATAAAAGAGTCATTTTAAAAAACTCAATAAATTTGAGGCCAGCAGGTGGCATAGTGGTTAAAGCACTGGACTCTCACCTGGTTGACTGATGTTTGAGTCCCAACTTGGTGGCTTGAAAATCATGCCAGATGCATGTGTATACATGCTCAAAATCCAGAGAGGAGAATGGAAAACAAGAGATTATGGCATGACCATCCCCTGGGGGGGGGGGTTATTTCTTTTTTTCTTTCTCTCTGTTTCACTATCTCTCTCTCTGGCAAGCACAGTCATTCTATGGCCAAAAACAAACAAAACTCAATAAATCCGAAAGAAAGCATAAAGAGAAAAAAGAAAGGAAAAAAAAAAAAAAAAGAACAGGTAGAATAAATTAAAAACCAACAGTAAAATAATAGAAACTTAATCAAATCACTAATTATATTAAATATAAATGTCTAAACAGACCAATTGAAAGGCAGAGATTATAGGACTGTTTTTTTAAAAAATGAACCATCTGTGTAGGACCAGCAGTTGGCATAATAGTATGTTGCTGGACTCCCATGTAATCAACCACTGTTTGAGTCCCGTACCCAGTGACTTAAACTCATGTTGGGCATGTGTGCGTGCATGCCCAAGATCCCAAGAGGAGAATGGAGGAGAAGGGATTGTGGTGTGGCCATCCCCCCTGGGGAGTGATTTCTCGCTTTCTGCCGCTCTGTCTCTGTCTTTCTGGCGAGCACATGTGCCCTATAGCAAAAACTTCTCAAAAAATAATAATAAATAAACCATCTATTTACGGCTTCAAGAAATCTACTTTATTATTTTTTTTAAACTATTTTCTAGAGAGATTTTTGCCATAGGGTGTATGTGCTTGCTAGAGAGACAGAAAGTGAAAAATCACCCTCTAAGGGGCATGGTCAAACCACAATCCCTTCTCCATTCTCCTTTTAGGATTTTGGGCCCATCTGCACATGTGCACCCAACATGAATTTCAAACCACTAGGTCCAGCATTCAAACTGTTTGACTACATGGGAGTCTAGTGTGTAACCAATATGCCATCTGCTGGTCCCATGTACTTTATTATTTTTTAAAGTTTATTGATTTCCTCCGTGAGAGGGACAGCAGGAGAGAAAGATGGGCTCCACCAAAAAGGTTCTTACGCCATGACCCACACCCAGTTTGAGCTGGCCTGCATGCACAGGCATGCATGCACACATCTGCTGTGCCAGGGAAGCCGCAGGACATGCACTCAAGGCTGCTTCCATGTGAGTCCAGGTGCTCCGCCATCATGGCATTACCTGGCCGAAGACATGCACTTTAAGTACAAGACAAAAACAGATTAAAAGTAAAGAGATGGAGAAAGATACACCAGGCTAACAATCAAAAGAAATCTGGAATGACTATATTGTTTTCAGACAAAGGAAGTTTGAGGCAAAGACTCTTTTGCTAGGGATAAAAAGGTTATTTCTAAACATACAGAGGTCAATTCATCAAGAAGACACAATGGTCTTAGCTGTTTAAATATCTAATAACAGAGCCTCAAAACACATGAAACAAAAACTGTTAGAACTGCCAGGAAAAAAGGACAAATATAACTGGATGTTTTAATACCTATTCAATGGTTGACAAAGCAAACAGAAAATCAGTAAGGACACAGTAGATTTAACACTGTTGACCAGCTTTCCCTGAGTGACATTCATTGCTCTAACAGTAGCAGAATATTCATGCCTTTTTAGTGCAAGTGGAACTTTACAAAGATAGGTCATAAAGCCTCTTTCAACAAATTTAAAAGGTTTCAAGTCATATAAAGTACATTCTTTGGTCATGATAGAATTAAACTGGAAAGAAATAAATAAGAAACAAGTTATTAGAAAATTCCCAACTATTTCAAAACTAAAGCAGTTCAGTTCGAAATACCCATAGATCAAAGTATAAATAAAAAGGAAATTATAAAATATTTTGAATTAGTGAAATAAAAACATAATGTATCTGAATTTATGGGCACTATGGTCTTGATGTTTATGTTCCTCCCAAATTAATAGGTTGAGTTCTCTCTTTTTTAAAAAAAGAAATGATTTATTTCAGTTTACTTATTATTATTATTTTAAAATTTTGTTATAGGACACATGCACTTGAGAAAGAGAGAGTGAAACAACTAGCTGTCAGGTCTGGGACTCAAACTATGGTTGGCCATGTAGGAGTCTAGCGCCACCCGCCAGCTCCCATAGGTCAAGTTCTAATCATTGAAGTGATGGTGTTAGAAGGAGGAGGCTTTACAAAGTGATTAGATCATGAGGACTATATATGGTCATTCTATAGTCTTTCTTTAGAAAAGAATTAAAATGTTTTAGATGATAACCAGGTAGTTTTGGCTGCCCAAGGAGAAGCTCCTGAATATGTAGAGTTGAGCCATCCATGAAGAGTGACCAGTGTTCTACTTTGTATGTTTAGCTACAACAAATTTACCCACAGTCAGGACCATCACACCAAGTCTGATGTTCACACTTGAAACTACCGAGAAGACCGTCAACCACCCACCAGGGACAAACACCAGCACCTTTACCAGGTGAGTGGACCTGGGTCCTGCAGCCTTCCCACTGGCCTGGCCTGTGCATTTTTATCTGGTGAACTTCTAGGAGGGCTGCCGGATGAAACACAGATGCCCAGTTGAATTGGATTATTTATTTATTTATTTGCCAAAGGGTGTGCGCACTTACCAGAGGGGGGAGAAAGCATCCCCCAACGAGGACACGGTCCATCCCATCAGGGTTTGGCATATGTGCACACATGCGCCTGGTGTGCTTTTCAAGCCAGTGGGGCTGGGATTTGAACAGCGCTGGACTGTGCCCTGTTGAGGTTCTGGGCTTACACTATGTGTTATTGTGCCAGGATCTGGGCACAGGGAGAGCTGGGAAGACCTGGGCCCCAGCAGGTGGCTCACTGTTGCTGTGTCCCCACAGGTCCCTGCTCAGCAGCATGCACTTCCTGCTTCCAGTCTTCCTGAAGCTGCTCCTGCTCCTGGGCTTGCTCAGTGCTGTGCTCTGGGTGAACTGGCCTCTGAGGGCTCCTCGTGGGGAGACAGAGGCAGCCTGGTCATGAGGCTCCCCATGCCCACTGAGACCTGCAGGGCACACACACGTGCCTGTATGGAGTTTTAAGCAGCCAGGTCCAGGACTTGAGCCTTGGTCAACGGCGTGGGAGTCCAGTGCCTTAACCCCTGTGCCATCTGCTGGTCCCTCAGGATCTTTTATAACAAAGCCTGGTTAAATAACCATGGAAATGACCTGTCACAAAGGAGGAACTTTCTGCTCACAGATCCTTTGAAACAGGAGGCACACCATGCCATGCAGGGCCATGTGGAAAGGCCAGGGTCAGCCAGAAGGCAGAAGACGGGAGGAGCTATGGGTGGAGGCTTTCTTGTGGTTTTCACTGGAAGCAAAGGGTAAGGTTTAAAAAGTGTTTAGGATTACATGGTTTGAATAATTTTGATGGGCCCTAGGCTATGGGATGGTCCCAGGTTGTCTGTGCCTGGCCCTGGGTGATTAGGGCATGCGCAGACCTCCCCAAACACACTAGGTGAGCACATGCCCTTGATCTGGGGCTGCCTGAGGCTGGGGTGTGTTGCCGTGTGAAGACCCTGTTGGGGGTGCCTGTCTCTCTGTCTCTGTGTCTCTCTCTGTGTCACGTTCGTTTGTGGAATTAATGAATAAACTTCTATAAAATGAGAGAACTTAACCTGGATGGTCTGAAATCTAGTCTTAGGCTTTAACATCTCTGAAGCCTGGACGCCTGGGCAGGAGTGAAGTGACCGCTTTGGGGCCTTCTCCCACGTCCAAGCCTCATGGCAGCCAGAGACTCTCTGGGGGCGAGAACTCTGGACAAGACTTCAACCATGGAGAACGGGTGGCATGGGCAGGAGAGGGTTGAGCCCCGCGTTCTATCTGTACCTTCTCAGCTCCATGTCTAGGGTCCCCTACATTCCCTGCAGGCTCACATCACCCCAGCCCCAGAACCAGCTCTGTCTTGGCTGGAGGGGAAAGCAGCAGCCTGATTCCCCGCTCCACCAGCAGGGG